CAGGATTTGCCTTTGGAAAAGGCTCACTTCTACTGCTGAATCAGGCTCCTGATTCTGCTCTTTCTATGTATAGTTAGGTAACACTGATATGTAATCCCACACAGCGTAACCTGGCTTCACATAAGAAGGCTAGTCCTGGCCTGCTTGCATGCGGTGCAGTGTGTATTTTAGTTCCAAAAGCAGAATTCATGGAAGCACACAGGCAGTTTGCTTGCTCTCTTCAAGACAGCTGAGGTGCAGTGATTTTCCTGCTTAGCAGTTGTGCACTCATGAGAATTAGGTCAGTAAGTTGGCTAATCAGTCGTAGCAAACTTGGTCGACTTCTGTCCGTGAACTAATTGCATCCGATACCTATATTGAAGCTTTGAGCAGCGGCTGATGCTGAAAAGCTGCTAATAATTAAAATGAGCTATTTTTAATTGACTCACTTCACTTAAGATGAGCATCTGAAAATAAACTGTCATGCTACTCACACATTGCGTCACACAGTGTGGGAGTGTGCTGCTACAGGATATATTTGTTACAGGATTGGATCACATTTATTCCTTTTTTCTCTCCAAAAACCAATTCAGCATTTTCTGCTGATATTGGCCCTGTACCAATACCTGTTGATGCCAATAGACCATCTATAGTATTTATGTATTTGTTTGTTTGTTTGTACAAGTGCAACTCTTAATGTTAGGGGTGAAACAATTTCTGTAAAGAAAACAAACATTAAAAAAGTAATGTTCAAAAAACATTTCGCTGATACGCTCCTTGATATCTTCTTATTTGCCATCTCTTGTAGAAACCAAAAATGTACAGAATTTGGAAAGTAACTGAGTTATAATTAATGTTTAGTGTCAAACTCAGTGTAGATTTTAAACATTTTAATTGTGCGATTGTGCACTTTTATGTTGATATTTTAGTTTTGAGGGGTTTAAAATAAAGACACGCTATATATACGATTTTAAACAAGGCAGTTCAGGTTTTTGTATTGTTGGTAGAATTAAGATCACTGTTTTTCTTGAGAGCATTGTGTCTTGTAATCTTTTGAAAAAAAAAGGTATTGGCCAAAACAAAATATATAGAATTTAATTGGAGCTCTATAGAGTCAAGACATTTTTAACATACTCAAAATATTGAAAATGGCATCAACTTACACTTTGAATCAAATATCTTATCAAACCTAAAAATAAGTATATTGTCATGCTCCAAATAAATAAAGCAGGTGACATTTCTGCAAATCGAAGTTCTCACCTTCTGATCTTGTGAGTCTCAGCATAAGTTTAAGATCTGTTTAGTTTAAGTAAAAGTTCTGTTTTACTGAATGAATGTATAATGTGATGAAGCCGTGCAGTGCAGTGGGTATTGAAGAGCAACATTTACCAGAAGAATACACAAAACAGCACTAAGTATAATATCAAATATACTATCAGTAGTTGATTTGTCGACTCTACTTTTGTGCACCCTGCTGCCCCTTTTACTCTTTCAGTCTTCCAATCGTAGAACCAAGTTACAGCTTTGTCTTCTCAACAGAAGCTGTTCCCAAAGGAGTCACTGACGTTATGTTCCCCTTCAAAGACACAATAACATTCACACAGGCAGCTACGCAAACACACCTTAGCTGCCTCACAAATGTCTTTCTTGTGTGTGTCTAAAATGGCTAAAGAAGACATTTCTAAGATTAGATAAGGTAATCTACCTGCATAAGGAGGAGAGAATGGGACTCCTAACTGTGCAAGACCTGCTAGACCTCCAAAACTGTCACCATCACATAAACAGCACTTAAAGCTTTCGCCTTTGACAGAGAAGAGAACGTCAAGCTCAATTTTTGCTTTAGATCTGAAACAATCCACAGGTGTTCCAGTCCAGAAAAATATTCCTGCAGATTTCTTTGAAAAATTGCAGGTTAATATCCTGAAATGAACAGAAGCTGTACGAAATGCAAAGTGTAGACAAGCTAAATATTGACAAAATATGTTTTGTTGTTTTGTGTATATTTCCTGACACTGAATATGAATAACTTGTACTTAATGGCTAATTTGACTGGACATTAAACAAATGAAAGGGTGGTCACTGACTTTTGCACAGTAGGTTACTAAACATACAGTTGCACTTTGTATAATGTGACAGTTTTGTTAATTAAATGTAGAAAGTGTAACTAAAGACTTATAGTCCGGTGTTTTTCTGATGCTTTTATTCATTTATTAGCTTTCTTCCAGGCTTTGGAAGGTGAACAGGCCTTTTGATCGACCAAGAAAATCCTTAGTCAGGGACAGCCTGAAAATTTTGTGCAGACTGCTAGAGCAACAACATAACGCTCCCAGTTTGAAGAGTGAATCAGTGAAAGGTCTGTGTCTGTAGGGTACTTGTCTCACACTGGTTAGAGTGTGATGACCTTTAGACATCTGCTGAATATCTGAAAACTCCAGCAGATATTAAGCAGCTATTTGGGAAAAAGGGCATTGGGAAATTTAGTGCCAGTGTTAGTTCACCAAGTCAGATGTTTTGGATCTGCTCTTTCTCTATTGAAATGCTGGGTGAAGTTGCAAAAGTCATTTTTCTTAGAAAAGTATTTATTTAAAGCCATACAGTCTCAAATACGACAGCGGGCTTACTTTAAGAAACTCTGACATGATGCTACTGCATAATGCAGTGTTCTCTAATAGCTGTGTTATTGCCTGGCAGGTTTTAATGCTCTCTGTTTTAATCTTGCTATTGTTTGAAAGTTATGGGAAGTGATGTGTTCCACTTTACTCCCTCTCAGATTTAGAAAATCAGGTAACTAAGCTAAAGCTTAAGCTGCAAATTAAATAGCTAACTTTTTTTGGTGAATGCATTAAAATACTAATACATAATTCATAAAATAGCCAGTGGTGCCTATTGCATGATACAGATAGATGACATTGTTCTAAAAACATGGCTGTTCAGCTGTGCTGGATCAGATGTGCTAGTTGAATGTGCTCAGGGGGGTGTACAGTGTGTGCCATTGTTGCAGTCAGATGTACATCTTCAGAACGTATGTTTTTTTTTTCTCCACACTCCACACACCCTGTCCTGACTCCAGGCTTTTTATTCTACTTTTCTTTTTAAAAAGTTAAGTTATAAGACTTAAGTTTAAAAAGTTTAAAAGTATGTCTTTCCCTTTCCTATGGGAAAATGAATGTAGTGTACCTTTATAACTCAATTAAAGTACACAGCTTTTCCTTATGGACTGTTTTTGTACCGTTATGAGTACATTTGCTTTATGTGTACCATGAAGGACTAAGACGTAACTGTGCAGTATCCTTTTGTCTGACAATTATAAAAAGCCACATATGTTACATTTTAGGACATCCTCAGACCACAGTATCAGGTTTCACACATCAGACAAAACACCTTCATCAAAGCACTGTTATGTTTAAGATGTACAGTTTGGACATCAGGCAAAAAGGGCTCTAACAACAGGGCATCAGACTAAGTGACCAAAGGCAAAATGCCTGGTAAAGTTTAACATTCATGATTCTGTTTTCTCTTACTAGATTTAATTGCAGTTTACTGGGCAAATTAAAGATGACAATAAACAACAATAAAGTGAACTGTGCAATCATTATTGTTCTTTTATTTCACAAAAATTAAGCTTCAACTTAGATGTTATCAGTGAATTTGCTATGAACCATCACAGAATTAGCGGAATATAAAGCATGTAACCACTGTGTGGAAATAAAAAAAATAAATAACACGTAAAGCAAAGTAACGTAAACAATGATCTGATTCAACCGCTTAATGTTGTTATTTTAGTTGATTAAAGAGAATGTAAGAGGATTCTGTTTCCCGTACAGGACTAGTTCTTAGTTTGAATGTTATGTTGTTACTCCATGAACTCCACAGCACCTGAAATTATATCTTTGCTTTTGTTATTTCAGTGCACCCTACATGCAGTTTGAATTACTAGAATTGTATGCAGGAAATAGACTTATTCAAATGAGGTCTATAGGACTTGTTGTTTAGGGCCAATTGTATAGCACAGTGGGGCTTTGAGGTTAACAGGTGGCATCTCTTCTCCCTCAGGCCAGAAAGACAATAGCTGATTCAACTTTCTCTTCCACAGCTGCAGTGAGGTGACCGGGTGTATTTATTTGCCTGGGAAATGGCCCCAGGCTACTCTCTTCATCCACTGCTTGCATGTTTTCATCTTATTTCCTCTAAGCCATATTTTACCACCGGGTCTTCACCTTCAGGAGGGTATCAGACGGGTTAATCTGACTGCTGTGTATGAAGCACAGAGTCTCCATATACAGCAGTACATATACAGCAAAGGGTAGATTTTGGAATTGTAAGCTGTGCTGCCATTTCGCATTTTTGTATTAAGGGTTGAAGAAAAAAATTGATATAGGAGGCCCAAGTATCGAAATCCTTTGTTTAATTAGTTATATTTTAAACCTGTATTAAGCCCATTGGTATTATATCAGTACCTGAAAAGTTGTAGATCATATTGCAACACTTGAAAGTTTGAGGCAGTATGTAAACTATGTTAAGTTTCAGAAAATAACATTCACTGGTCCATCCATATTTTCCGTATACGTTAACTAAGCTATAAAACAGTCCATCAGTCCGTTTTGAATTCACAGTGTTTGTGATGTCACAAAACCAACACATTTACATATATTCACCTATTTAGCCTGCAGCAGTTTTGTTTCACCCATTCACGTTGAAGTTACAAGGAGTGTTTCTGCTGGACTGCTTTTTGTCTGAGACCCAAAACAGGGCAGCCAATAGGAACAGAGGTCATTTACATATATCAGTCTAACAGGTACAATAACACAAAGCCCTGTTTAATTCTAAAGGATAAAGAGAGGTTGATGTAGAAAGTGAGTTATTGTTGGTTTCATTACATAAGACAACACCAAAATCATAAATGGACCTCAGGGGAAAAAAATGAAATGTGTGAGAATTGTAGACCAGTGTAATCAAGACTTCTCTTGGACTTTATGTGATTTCTGCTAGCATGTGCTGAGGCTGTGTGTGTCTTTCTACAGCACTACTTCCTCATTGTGTTTGGCCACGATGGGCAGAAGCCTCTGGAGCTGCGCACAGAGGAGGAAACGGAATGTGACGAATGGGTGGAGGTCATCCAACAGGCCAGGTACATTACTACGATTATGTGTATGCACGTGCATGTGTGTGTTTTAGTGCTGCATGATATAAAACAAAATGCTAATATTGCTATTATATTGCTACATATTGCAGTTGTGCCTTGGAATATGTTAAAAGTGCGTTGCAAAAACAAAAATGTTAAAGACTGGTCTGTTTTATTTTGACCAGAATAATTTACTTTTTCTGGACTGAATGGATGCCTTTATTCATCAAATCACCCACAGAAACACTGTGGTGCTGCAATTGGTCAAGATGCAAATGAGATGGCTGATTTGCATATTGCCACCGTTTGTGGTATCATTTTTGCAAAGGCCAAAATCATGATAATGATTTACAAACTATATATTGTGCAGCCCTGGTGCATGCGTGCGTGTGTGCACTTACCCAGAGATGACTCAGACTCAAGCCACGTGTCGAGTCGAGACTTAAAACTCATGAAATTTCAGACGAAATAAATGAACAACATGAACAAAATTAAGACTGGAGACCTTAATACTTGTTTCTGACCTTACATGTGTGACTTTTCCTGTTAATATTGCTATGGCCATAGGCAGTTATCAGTGCCCTTCTCCTGCAGCTCACATCAGGTTTGGCATCAAATAATGAGAATTTTTTTTAAGAAAATTATTTGATCAATTATTACGCTAGCTAACTATCATACTTGCTTTGCAAAGTACAGACTATAACTAGCTGTTTCAAGTTGTTTTGCCTCTTTCCTTTAAATACCACATTTACTCCATGAAGCGCTTTACATTTGTTGTTCGGACTGAAGGTTTTTCTACAATGAAAAACTTATTTATTTGAAGCTGTGTTGAACCTGACAGGCTTTGAGTTGAGGTTTACTCTTGTACAATGCAGTGCCTTCAGTAATGAGACTAACCTAAAATTCTCTACTGAAAGACTCCAGATTCTCAAGACTCAACTCAGACTGAAGCGACTTAAGAATATCTCTGCACTCAGTCATGCAGTTCAGTCATGCTTATGTGTGTCTTTACTCCGAGGTTTAGTGTGTAAAGAGGCCCAGGACAGTTCAGTGGGGGAAGCCAAGCGCGCTCTTTAGCACTGTGTGCGTTTACTGCTGTCACTGCAAAGCAGCCCCGCATCTAATAAACAGCACTAAGCTCGAGAGCTCTGTTGTTCCTTTCTCCCTTGGACTCTTGAGAAAGCACTACTGCAAAAACAATTAACTACTGCAGAAGATACTGTTATTGCAGGTTTCCCCCTTGGGCAGCTGGTTTATCACATAGGGTTATATTGGTCACATTTTTTTCTTTCTTTTTCATTTTGTTTGTCAGTTGCTAAGTGAAAGACAGGACAGACAGGAGGGATACAGTGACAATGTCCACAAAATACACAACACAACACACGGCCATCTGGGATGTGAGGCACTCATTTCTTGGCAAGCGTCTCTCAGACAGGCTCTTTATACAAGGGGGGCTGTAGCGTTTAGATTTGGGTTGCGTCACTGGCGCGATCTGCTGGAATGAGATGGATTAGTGGGTTACTCCTGAACAGATGTGGTCGTGAGCAGTGGGACTAACCCCTGTGTTCTCCCACCACTGCCCCACCAGCTTACAATCCTCAGCTCCCCTACAGAGTAAAACAAAACAGAGCATTAATGTGCAGCTCTGCCAGGCCATTTCATTTCTGCCATCCTGCTGCATATTAGGCTTTGGAGTTCTTGCTGGTACATTATCTGCAAAAGCACATTTGCCGAATCAAGCAATAAAAATTGTTTGGTTAGATTGCACATGCTAAGACGGCATTGATGTGAGATTCTGCGTTTAATTTGGCCATGTCAGGCTTGTACTTTAATAGTTGCATGCAATAAACAAAAAAGACAAAATGATAAGTACAATTATTTGTATGAGTCAAGCCAAAGTTTATTTATATAGCACTATTAAGAACAGGCATTGTCACAAAGCAGATTTACAAAAAATACAGCTCAAAGCCCTGGTGAGCAAGCCAAAGGAAACAGATGCAAGGAAAATCTCCCAAAGAGCAAGAAGAAGAAACCTCAAGAAGAACCGAGACTCAAATGGGGAACCCATTGTCCTCCCCATAGCTCTAAGACCAAGCAGAATTGTTTAGCATTTTCACTAGTGCTGTCTCTGTACATGTATTTCCTGTGCAAATAGGAACTTAGTTGTTGCCCCACAACTTTCTCCAAAATATTTGATATGAAGGGAAGATTTAAGATCCATAATTTGATAGCTCACAGAGATCAAGATTAGGTTTCTTAATTGGGCTTTTAATTACTGCTAATTTAAGAGTTTTGGTAGATAACCAAGAGGAGTTTGTTATTGATAAAAGAGGCTTGATTGTTTCTGGTAAAATATTAATCGTCAGCTCAAACTGTGTGATCATAACAAGCTTTATCATACCACACTTTGTTATCTCCAGTCATTACTGCAACTTCCAAGAATTAAAGTATATAGCGAAGTTTTAATGAGTTCAGTTGATCCCTGTAATGTTTTGCAGTGGTTTACCTACTAATGTGTATTTTATTAAGTCAAATGTAAGATTATATATTATATATATATTATATATATATATATTATATATATATTATATATATATATAAACAAATGTCTCAATGTTCTCATTCATTCTCCCCTAAAGTTACTCTGACATCATCATTGAGCGTGAAGTGCTCATGCAGAAGTACATCCACCTGGTACAGATTGTGGAGACAGAGAAGGTGGCGGCCAATCAGCTGCGCACACAGCTGGAGGACCAGGACACAGAAATTGAAAGACTCAAAGCAGAGGTAAATATTACTTATTCACTCACTAGGTCAGTCTAGGCTGTATAATGGGCTGGTTTGTGTTTGTGCTGTCATGTTCTTGACTGTACAATATCTTGTTATAAGAGGGTTTTCCTGTGTGACACCAAAAGCGATTTGTGATTCACCCCAGTGGAACTGCTTCACGGTAGCTGCTACCACAGGCTAAACATTGCTGCTGATGCAAAAGCAGTTAAAGATACAGTCTTGAGTTTTTGCCATCATGTGTAAAAATGTTTAACATGTGCTTGGGCATTGCATGAAGCTGCCTCAGTACATTATGGTAGTTAAATTTTTCACTATCCTAAAAAAACTTTGTACCTCCAGTAGCACTTGAACCTTGCTACGTAAAATTGAGATAATCAGGCCATAAACATGCCATGGCAGGTGTCTGTCATGACAGATTATGTCCACTAATATAACAGTGTTACCATTACCGTTAATTGTCATGACACAGGACACACTGTTTGGTGGCTGCCTAGAGTACACTTAGCAAAAGATTAGCTGTCATGATATGAAATATTCTAGCATTTGTTATGACAATTACCTGTAATGGTAACATGACACTGTTACTATTACTGAACAAAATCTGTTGTGACAACTTATGACAGCAGATGACATCTGTCACAACTTGTTGATGGCATGGTTATGTCATTGTAATGCAGCAGAGTTTAAGTAAAGTGTTGCTGTATCCCCAAAATGGAAACTTCTTAACTTTTAATGTATGTCAGTGTAACTAGGTTTCATTACAAGTGATTTTGGAGCATTTCTCTTGGTCCATTTGTCATGAAAAAAAGGTCCTCTTTCTGCAGGCCCTCTAGTGGCCATTGACGCTGGTATTTGTTGGTTATTAATTAATGTAATCAACTAAAATATTTTTCCTGTTATTAGATTCAGTGTGTGAAATGTTGTGACTCTGTGTTGAGGTGCTAGCAAGCAACGAGGGGGGTTGTCCGAACCAGAAAATGAGCGAAGAATCTCATTTTTTATCACTCTGGAAGAGTTAATACCTGAGCTCTGAATTCAAAGCATTAGATGAGGGTAAACGCTAATCTCCGCAGCACTTTGGCCCGGAAGGTCCCCAGTTTGACGTGCCTGCTCTAACTGCTCTAATTTGATTTTACGCTGGTTCTGGTTCAGGTTTGATATAGTTTGAGTCGCATCCCACCCCCAGAGTTACTTTATAGCCAGTAGTCAGCGCTCACTTGTTGCTTAGCTCTGCTGATTCACAGGTGCATAGTTGAGATTTTGAAGGGGCACACATTGTGGGACCTTGAACCCCTTTCTGTGTGTCTCAGACACATTTATGTGCATCTTTACAGAAGTATGAACCAGCTCTTAGATGTTTTCTGATTTTCATTTTTTTGCCTAACTTGGAACTCTAATGATATTTATGTGCTATTACAGTGTTCTGCTACTGAAACTTTGTTTTGCTAAATGTAGTGAGATATGGTGTAGTATCTGGGTTGTACCCATCTTCCATTCCAATTACGTGTTACTAGGGAATTATCCTTCCCAGTGGATGAGTCCAGTCACCATGGGGACAGAAATCAAGTCTCATTATTTGCATTATAGGATCAGCAATATGTTATTGCTCACTCCTGAGCAAATGTCAGTGCAGAGCTCAGTGAGGAACATGTGATTTAGCAAAGCCAGTGCCTGCTGTGTCCATGATAAAAGCTAATACTTCCTTTTAGGAAAGCTAGGAGAACACTTAGTGTAGGTGGATAACAGCACCAAATGGGTAGAATTCCCACTACATGTGCAAGCTCTCAGTACAAGCATATTTTCAAGGCACTGTTAAAGAAGATTAAAGAAGTATCTGAATGTGCTATACTATCAGTGTGACGCTCATTTGGATGATGCATTTCAAAGGGACCATGTATTCCCTCAGAGATATAAAGGAGGCTGTTACCTCCTTTGGGTCCATATGGCACATGTTTTGGACTTGAACCTCAATCCTACCTGTATGCCTCACAGCTACAACACTGAACAGTGTCTTTTCTGGATGTGCCCTTGAAGGTTGTATTAGGGCTGAACACTTAATCATTTTTATATCGAAAGTGCAATTTGAACCAGTGCTGTTCTCAAATCATACGAGCTTCAGTTTTTTATTGCATCCTACATCATTCAACATTGTCTTAAGTTTTAAGCGGGAAAAATTTAAGCAAATAACACAGAGCTTGTGAACTGCGCTCTTCTGGCACACTACATTCAGTGTTTAGAGCTTAATTTATGGAAAATAATTGTATTTAAATCATAATCACAATCATAATAATTGTCAGAAAAGTTACAATTTGACATTTTTTCTACATCATTCAGCCCTTGGTCATGTGCACCAGCCTTCTGTGGGTGTCACTGAAACTGTGGAGATGGAAAAATCAATGGAACAGCCTCTGATCGTAGTTCCACAGCACGTTCCACATGCTATTTATAGAAGCACAATGAGATGTGATATATATCTAATTCTGCTATAATTAATGAGATCATAACACATTGAATATTGGATTTTCCTAGTTTGACCCTTTGACCATCCGTAGCAGGGCAGGCTAAAACCCATCTGCTCGTTTCCTGTATGTTGATATGACAGAGTTCATGATTGCAGCCTTATCAGTAATATACAGTTTTTAAGGTGCTTATACTTTCAGTTTGGTTTCTTTGGTCTGGACCAAAGCAGAGAATAATACAAAAATTAAATAAAAAATTGTTGTATTTTAGGTTTAATTTGCTTAGCATTCACATTGACATATTCAATATCAAACCAAAGGATGTAAACAAAAAAAATGGAGAAACCTTGGCACCTTAATACAAAGTATGTGTGCAATCAAATGTGTAGATTAGGAGTTTTTTATATATTTTATGTATTTTATAATGACTACAAATGTGCTTGAGCCTCCTTTAAAAAATGGAAACTGTCTGTTGTATAATTACTGATTCAGAGCTTATGAAGACACGATGAAACACGTATACATGTCAAAGCAAAGAAGTTATGCAGAAAGGAGCCAATGGCTCATTCTGTCTTTGGTCTGTTTCAATGTCTCTGGTTTGTATTGTTTGTATTATATTGCTGGTTTGTATAGTTTGTTCATATCAGGGTTGGGAACTGATTCCTGAGACCATCTATTTATCCATCTATCTGTCTATCTCTCTCTCTCTCTCTCTCTCTCTCTCTCTCTATATATATATATATATATATATATATATATATATATATATATATATATATATATATGTATGTATGTATATATATATGATAATTGTAGAGAGAAAAAAAAGTCAGTTTTTACATTATGTTGTCCACACCCTGATGCGCCAACAACAGCATCCTCTAACACACCCTCAGGAGATAATCTGAGGTGACATTGGCGACCTGTCGCCTCCTAATGTGAACATACGGTATAAAAAATGTGGAAAACTACAGTTCTGCTCAAGAGCCTCCACTGTAACAGGAATCTGCGAACTGTATGAGTGAGAACTAGAGCTAGAGGACTACAATTTTTGAAGAGTTGGAACATTTGACCCTATATACGATAGCTATGATGTCATCGCTGTCTGAGCAAAATCTTATATCTCCATTTTTTACTTAATTTGAAAATGCCAGCTGTCGTTTACAATATGTTAAAATGTCTTGGACAAAGTTCTTGTTCCATTCAAAGTTAAGAAGATTTATTTTGCGTCTCCTGTAAAGTTACCATTTTGGAGATACCAGATTTTGTCACGACAGGGATGATATTGACAGTGTTCATCCTATGGAAATCACATGATGTTCGACTTCATGTGACCCCCAGTGTTCACATGATAAAATAATGTTATTTACATTCTGATTAACTTTATTTTCTCCATATAGCTCTATTTTCTCATATAGCTATAACACTGATGTCTTTTGCAGTACATCAGTATTATTCCAATATACTGATGGATGGCCTTTTTTGACTTCCATCTGAACAGTGATGCTATCAGTGATATTTTTTAATGCATTCATTTGTCCCACAATATCTGTGCAGCACATTGTTATTTTTCATATTGTGTTTATTGTTTCAGTGGCTAGCAGGACTCCTAGAGATACAACACATCCAGAATGAAATTGAATTATTCTACTGTGTTTCAATTTGATATGTTTATTCAATTAAAAGTATTTCTTCATGAGTTAATGATGAATGTTTAACAGTTAAATGCTGTTTTCAGTACAGCCATGAATATTTGAGAGCTGCTAACATTTACATTTTGAAAACATGCACACCCACATTTCAATAAAATATTCATTAAATTATTCATTGAAAGTGTAGCCAAAAAACACCATCACAGTGAGCTGTATTCAGTATGAATGTAAACAATTACAGTAAAACTTCCACTACACTCTTAAAAAAGATGTTTCTTCAAGGGTTCTTTAGTAAAGAAAATGCTTCTATGTAGAACCAGGAACACTCAAAGAACCCTTTGCGTGATTAAAGGTTTCTTTGCTTCCTGAAAGGGTTCCTCAGATTGACAGAGAATGTGCTATAGAGGTTTCTGTATAGAAGCTTTTTGAAAGGTGTTATTGTTACAAGCTTGACATGGTAACAATAGAGGGACCCTTTTTGGTGCTATACAGAGCCCTTTTAAAAAGGTTCTATATAGAACCATCCATAACACATTCTCCCTCATTCTGAAGAACGATTTCACAATTCAAAGAATCCTTTAATCATGCAAAGGGTTCTTTGAGTGTTCACGGTTCTATATAGAACCATTTTCTTTACTAAAGAATTATTTCATGCTTAAATGGTTTTTTGCATGGTGAAATTGTTCTTTAGATTGATGGAGAATGTGTTGTAGATGGTTATGAAAATGGTTCTACGTAGCACCCTAAAGGGTTCTTCTGTCGTTACAAGCTTAACATCATAACAAAAGCCTAAGCCTTTTGGGTGTTATATAGAACATTTTTTTTAAAGTTCTATATAGAACCATACACAACACATTCTCTAATCTGAAGAAAAATTTCACCATGCAATGAACAAGTTATGCCCAAAATGGTTCTATGTAGAACTGACGGTTCTGAATAGAACAGTTCCCTTTACTAAAAAATCCTTGAAACATTTTTAAGAATGTAGTCTTATTAGAATATAAGTTAAAGGCTAGCCATTACGTAGCCATCAATGTAGCCATCGCTGATTGACTATAGTATTATGGTGGAACTGAGTCCAAAAATAAAAAATAAAACAGCTGCTTTGCCGTGTCATTTTGCCAGACCGCCAGCTCATGTAAGTGTGTTTTCAGGAAAAAGAGCCACAAAAACTAAAAGGCTGCCCCTAATCTAGAGACTTCAAATCTCTTTGTTGAAAACCACAGCCCCTTTTCCCAATAACCTGTTTCAGCACAGCAGGTAATGTGGGAACACCACTTAGAAGCCTGCTTTAACCAGAATTAAACACATTTGAGCTTCTACTTAGAAACTTGTAAGCTACATTTTTCTTGCTAAAGTTTGGTAGTTCTTACTATGGTGTAGTAGTTTTTGCCCTACTTGTTAAAATAATGAGACAGCTAAAGCTTACCATGTGGAATCAGCCTGTTGTTTTTTTAGTAGCTTTCCTTTACTGTTACTGTGGCCTATTATTATTATTGGGCAATTAATAACAATAATGGGCTTTGTCTTTTTTAAGTTTTTGTTGATCACAACAGCAAAATCAGCCCCTTAAGCCCCTGTTTATGTTTTGAGAGTGATATTGTTCTGTGCGTGAAAGGCTGCAACACAGCTGTATCTGTTTAAAAGAATCACAGTTTAAAGAAAAGTGCAGTGCTTTCAGTGCTATAGAATGATCTGAAACCAGACAACATATTTAGTCGATACAGACTTGGATTACACATTAAAATGCCCAGCATAATGGAAAACCACATTTTCCACACTTTTAATTAAATGAGTTTGGTATAATATGTAAACATTGTCACAGTTTCAAAACATACCAATTACTCCCCAGTCCATACAGTCCATATATTAAAACTAAGCTGAAAAAACAGCCCGTTCTGAATTTATTGTTTCTTTGATGTCACAAGAACCAAGTCAATTACATATACCCACCTATTCAGCCTACAACAGTTTAGCCCCACCCATTAACGTAGAAGTTTTAAGGAATGTTTCACCTCTGAGTCCTTTTTGAATGAGGCACAATACAGAACAGAGATCTTATACATGTATCAGTCTTAAAGACACAGTAACAGAACAGCCTGCTTAATTCTAAGGGATACGGAAAGGATGGCAAATGGTCATATAAAAATGAGTTATGACTGTTTTAGGTGCATAAAACCACACAAATGTTATACATGAACCTCAGGGGTAGAAATAAAATACGAGAAAATTGTAGGACATGCGCGCTTTAACATTGCTTAAAGTGATTTTCTGTCATTTATCTCGTCCGCCTCGTTTGACAGTCATAGATAAATTCTGTTGGCAGTTCATGATACTATCATTAATCAGCTCAAGCCTATAAGCTTGCAAAACTATGTACAAAAATTGTGATTTTCTTTCTAATGTCCATCACAAAGTGTTTTGTCTTCTTTAATTAAGCTCCCTTTAATTCTCAAACTCACTGTGTGTGTGTGTGTGAGTGTGTGTGTGTGAGTATGTGTGTGTGTGTGTGTGTGTGTGTGTGTGACTGAAACCTGTGAAACATGCTCACTGAGGGTGACTTAAGGACATTTGAGCCATAATTTGCTTACAGACTAAATAGCTGGTAAAGGCTTGGTGAGCAAGGCGTTTGATGCAGGCTGCTGAATGAAGAGAGGAGATTGTGTGCGTGGAGAGGAAGTGAGATGGTTATCTGCTGTGAGAGCACCCACACAGCCTCTTAGTGACCCACATTCCTGACAATCTGAATATTCATTGAGGCCAGTGTGTGTATGAAGCCCTGGTGCTATCTGACTGCATGCCATTGTGAATCAAGTAATTATCAGTACAAATGATATGCAGGCCGATCCATTTTGGATGACTGCTGTGTCTAGCAGTTGTATGGGCTGGTTTTCCAGCCACACATTAACTCTCAAAGTGTCCTGGTAAATGCCTCAAAAAGCTTATTTTTAAATTTTGTCTATTTATTTGTGATACATATAGTTGTATGCAAAAGTTTAAACATGTCCTGATTAAGTATTAGAAGCAGAAGATAGAAATGCACACTTGAACCTGTTTATATACAAAAAATCAGGTGTAAAGGTCATTTCTTATGTAAAAACTAGGTAATTACCTGCAATAAATTGTGTAATGTAAGTTGAATGTATAGTAAAATGACTTCTAAGGGGTATGTGGAGTGTAGTTCAGCTGTGTCTGTTATTGATCATTCAGATAAATATGTCCTTTATGATAGTAGCTCATCATCATATCTGTTTGTTTGAATTTTCTTGAAGATCGTAGCATTGAACAAAACCAAGGAGAGAATGCGTCCTTACCAGGTGTACCAAGAGGAGGAGGATCCAGATATCAAGAAAATTAAAAAGGTACCAAATACATTATACATATTGTAGTACATTATGGGCCAACATTAACTTAGTAAACATGAACATTTAAAGCAGGGGTGCCCAATCCTGCTCCTTGAGATTTACCACCCTGCACAGTTTAGTTCCAACCCTAATCTAACACGCCTGATGCAGGTAATGGATGCCTTCACGTGCATCTGAATATCAGAGCCAGTTGTGTAGGATCTGAGCTCCCCAGAGTGGTAGATCTCCAGGACAAGGATTGAACACCCCTGATTTACTGTTACGTGTTCCTTAACATAGAACAAAAGGGTTTGAAGCGTCTACGTGGTGTAAAACTAACTGAATGTCCATTTGTTTTGCTCCTGCTGATTATCTTGTAGAGTTTTAACACAGCTTTTAATCATATCTGCATTTTTCTCATTTTCATATACTCCTGAAAACTTGATGAACTTTATCAAATGTGTTAAATTCGAAATTTGTGAAGAGTTAAATACTGGCCATTAGAAGACAGTTCCCAGTGTGATTCTTTATAATATTATGTATATGACTACAAACCAATGGAATAAGTTTGAAAGACAGTCTCAGTTTAGTTAGCCAGGCACCGTTTGTAGAGTTGATTTATTGATTGTTGAGAAATTGACTTAATTGTAAAATATAAAAAAAAATCACTTCTTGCTTCTGCATCTCATGGTCAAAACCATGGTCAGGTTTTTGTGTTGTAAGTTTTCATTTATTTAACTGTTGGCCATTATGACCTCCACTGTGATAGGTTCAGAGTTTCATGCGAGGCTGGCTGTGTCGGAGGAAGTGGAAGATCATCGTTCAGGACTACATCTGCTCTCCCCATGCTGAGAGCATGAGGAAGAGGAACCAGATCGTCTTCAACATGGTGGAGGCCGAGACTGAGTACGTCCACCAACTCTCCATTCTAGTCAACTGCTTCCTCAGGCCGCTCCGCATGGCCGCCAGCTCCAAGAAACCTCCCATCAGCCATGATGACGTCAGCAGCATTTTCCTGAACAGGTATGCGTGGGTTCCTGAGTTTCTCAAAGACAAAATGTTTTTGAAATGATGAATGTTATTAAAAAATAAATGTACCTCCTTAAAAATAAAGGCCAAAAAGTGTTATAGTTTCCTCATGTCATTTCCTCTTAACAGTCAGGAATGGCTGGATAAACTGACATGTTGCAGCTTCTTTTGATGATTGTGTAGTTCAGTAGCAAATATTTACATGTGACGCTTTTTTATTTTAAAGATTATCCTGGTTAGTCTTTGAAGAGTAATTAAAAAATTCTAAAATATGTTATTTTGTTGTAATAAATGATATCAATTTTGTTAAAGTTGTAGCGCTTGTAATTTTTTTGAACAGTCAACATAACGTTACTTTGGTCAGTTCCACCTCTGCAGTGCCCCTTCTGGTTCAACTGTGCCGCAGATGCTCATGACCAGGGCTGCTAAAAACAAATATTTTGATATTCAGTTATTCATGTGAATGAATCGACTAATAATTAATTAATTGACTTAAATGCAGCCTTTTATGGCCCCTTCCCTCCAAAATGATCCAAAGAGCGCTTTTCAGTTATCTGCAGTTATCTGAAAATAGGGGATGTGGTTACTCTTTAACTTACAGGTGAAGTTACTGCACATGGACAACAATGGGTCCTCATTTATTAAAGTTTGTTTTAAGTTTATGTACCAACAGTAGTTATTTTTTAACTTTACAAGACAAAGCAGGGCTGAAAAACTCTTAGGTTAGGTCTACTAAACTGTAGGTTGAATAGGCAAATATTTGTAAATCTGTTGGTTTTCGTGACATCCTAAAAACAGTGAATTCAAAATTGGCTGTTTGTTTACCCTGAGTTTTCACATATGGACTGTATGGACTAGAGGGCAAATGGTACATTTTGTATTTTAGCAGTCTGCTTACTACATTAAGGAAAAAGACATGGGCCTTTTAAAGACATTTTGAAAAGCTATGTGTCCCCAAACTTTGATGAGCAATGCATTACATCCTGTTTTAAGAGTGTTTGGAGATGTGATCTTTCTCTCTTTTGTACAAGACTGACATACTGATCGTCTTCCTCTCCCTCCAGCGAAACCATCATGTTCTTGCATGAGATATTCCACCAAGGCTTGAAGGCAAGAATAGCGAACTGGCCCACATTGGTTTTAGGTAAGCTGCCACTATTCAGTATCTCCATTCAAAAGCCTAATTACTGCATGTGGGAGCTATACAGCGTTCCGCAGTGAGTGAGACAGCACACAGCAGGCTGTCAGACGGACCATCAAGGACGAGCTGTTGACGCACAGCGTCTTAGTCAAACACTCTCGGTGACGTCTGACTTCCTGCTATCTCTGCGAGCGCACAGTCGTCTGCAACAATGAAACTGCCACAAAACATCGTTCCATCATTCGAGATAAGTGTTCGCTAGACCTGCCAACTAAATACAGGCTTTTTTAACAGCCTTGACTCCAGGATCAGGGCTGGTTCCTTTTCAGTTATGTCAGTTACACTGTAGCAAAATTCAATCAACAGTTGAAACGTGTCCATGCATATCAGTAAGGGCATTTTAATAAATTAAATTTGGACAAACATGTCCCCTGAACTTGCTGAATTCTAATGAGCCTCACAGTGCCTGCCATTATTCTCTCTCCCTTTAGCTGATCTCTTCGACATCCTGCTGCCCATGCTGAACATCTACCAGGAGTTTGTACGGAATCACCAGTACAGCCTGCAGGTTCTAGCTAACTGTAAACAGAACAGGGACTTTGACAAGCTGCTGAAACAATATGAATCCAATGCTGCTTGTGAAGGAAGGATGCTGGAGACCTTCCTCACATACCCCATGTTCCAGGTGGGACCAACACTTCATATGACTTCTTAAAGTGGTAGTTCTGAGAAAAATCAGTCAGGGCATGTTTGGTGTTTGAAATAACATCAAGCATTCTACATGCCTAAATCATCGCACAGCTCAACCTGTGTCTAGTTAAGGTGGTTTCTAACACTGTATGACATACAGATACATATATAAAAACAGACAAATGTGCAACAAAATACAGGTTTCACTGTGGCTGCTACAAAATGTTTTAGTTATGCTACATCCTTTTTCCATTGTTGTAGATGACAGTACATCATTCAGTGTCAGAAAAGAAATAAAGTCTGTGTAAGACTTAACAACTCAACACAATTTGAAGCAAGTGTGTAATGATATAGACATGCAGTTTGCACAATGCTGAATTTGAGGTTTAGGCCCAATCCCATTTCTTATTTTTATCCCATACCTGGGGAACTGAGTTACAAGGGGTAGTGGTTGAAATCTTCCCCTATGAAATTGAACAACCCTTAAATAAAAAAGAACATTACTTCATTAACAGGCTGCTAGCGGTGCTCTGTTGGCGACCCTGCCAGTCTGCAGTGATAGCAGAGGAGGGTAAAGTACAACAACCTCATGCGGCTTTAGTTACATTTAGGGAATCGTATGTCTTCAAAGGGAGGGAGATGTAACAATTATTTATTATCTCCCACCTCTGATTCTTCTGTGACATGAAGTTGAAGTTAGCTATTTGCTAGCTTCTTGTTTGGATTTTCCCGTTCCACCTTCAATGATGCAGCTGTTCCATGGAATGGGAAATGTAGCTAGCTAGCTACGGAGACATTAGCATATTACCAGCGATTTTTTATGCTTGTTATGAAGAAAAGGACCATGATACATTGAAATGAAATTAAACTAAAATAATTAAATGATTATCACAATTTTTAATGGAGAAAATACTCACATTTGTGGGATGTGTGGAGTGTGCCTCTGAAAAACCTCTTTTTGGAGGGCCATGTAGCCCTAACACTTTGCCCTACCCTTCTATCTCATCAAAAATTGGGGCACCCTACCCCTAGACATGAACTCGTAAAACAGAGGGCTAAGGGGTAGGGTAGGGGGAAGGAGTGAAATGGGATTGGGCCTTAAGCTTCTTTCACTTTTTAATCGCTGATACCAAACACTACATTTGGGGTAAGGGAGAAAAGTGAATTATAACTTCACTTTAAGACCATAACAAAAGAGTATTTTTTTATATTCATATGTGTTCTCATATGTTCACAAGCCTAATACTTTTCTTCTAGGAAACAAAAAGACAGAGAGACCTATCCTTCATTTATTTAATTTTGTATTTTTTTCAGCATCAGGAGAAAAAGCAGAAAATATATATTTAATATTACACAGAAGCCTCAATAACTACAGATAATATATATATATATTTTTTTAGTATTTAGTGTGTCCAACCTTTGCCTTCATTACAACTTGCAGATTTTCAGAGACTTGCTTTCAGTTTTTCAAAGATATTTTTCCACACCTCCAAAGTTCAGTCTTGGAAGTTGGTTGCATTTTTTTGCTTCTCACAGTCCAAGTAATTGCCAGCACTTTCAGTAATGTTGAGGTCTGGACTCTGGAGTGGTCAGTTCATTGTTCTGAGAACATGTGCAGCTTCTTAATTTTATTAGCATATTTTTTACATTTTTGTTTATTTCCTTTTTTCACTAACGGCTTCTTGACAGCTTCCTAACCATGACGGTTTTGGTGATAGACCAGATGCCATTTTTGATGTATGTTTAAATATAGCAAATACAAGTATGGGAAACTGGAATTGTATAAATGAATGGTGGTCTCTGACTTTCGCACAGTGATCTCCTCAATAACATTCAAGACTCTGAATCTCTTTTTTCTTTTACATCTCTTCGGAAGATCCCACGCTATATCATAACCCTCCATGAACTCTTGGCCCATACACCGCATGAGCATGTGGAGCGGAAAAGTCTGGAGTTTGCCAAGTCCAAGCTTGAAGAGCTCTCCAGGTAATGTCTCAGAGATCTTCAGACTGTTTGAATTCTCCTTAGTCTGTCTGTGGAATGATTGCTGACGTAGAGTAGATACTGATTTTCAGATTATAAGCTTTGACATGCTACATTTTATGAAAACTGGAAAAAAATAGCATTACAATTCAGTTAATCACATTTTAGGTAGCTATGTTTCTTTGATGGTCTTTCTGTTTTTGCTAAGTTCTTCATTTTTGTTCTTTATATTGTTTAATAGACCTGGTGGTTGCTCGTGCGAACTGACTGGCATATTTAAAGAGACAGTTTCTTAATTCTGCATGTGCTTGTGCTCAGGGTGATGCATGATGAGGTGAGTGACACAGAGAACATCCGCAAGAACCTGGCCATCGAGCGCATGATTGTAGAGGGCTGTGACATCCTGCTGGACACCAGTCAGACATTTGTAAGACAAGGTGAGCTCCATTCAGCCCTCAGCACACCACGTTCTTTACAGCTGAGCCAGTGTCTCAACTGCAGAGCAGCTGAGATGAGATTCCTCTGGGCCCTGAATAGAACATTGTTTTGAAGTTGGGCAGCACTAGCTTGAAGGTGGATACAGTGTTGAACAGGGTTGAACTGGAAATAGAAAAAAAGAAGACAGATCGATTGTGAGAATGCGTAAAGAACAGGGGAGTAAAAATACACATGAAAATGGCGATTCAGCTGCATAAGTTATAGTATGTTTGAATCAGTAACTGATTATAATAATATTCAGTGAAGTATTGGCTCATTTTCAGTCAAAATACATTTTTGTGAGTATGTAAAAATAAGAAAATAAATAAAATAAATAAAATAAAATTTTTATATTTGGCTACTGTGTAAGTAGTAAAGAAAGAGCTTGTGATCTCCTGATCTCCTGTTTGAAAGCCCTTTAGGCCCTTTAGTCGAGGCCCACTGTCTGTCTTTCTCTCTGTCTCTCTGTCTGTGTTTCTCTTTTTCTCTGTCCCTCTTTTTTCTTCTTTCTTAATCTCTCTCTCTCTTTTTTACTCTCTCTTTCACATTTTTCTTTCTGTCTCTGTTTCTTCCTATCTCTTCTTCTTTCATACTCTGTCTGTCTCTCTCCATTTTTTTCTTTTTCTGTTTATCATTTATGTCTCTCCTTCCCTTTTTCATCTTTTTTCTTTCAGTCATTTGCTCTCTCCTTTTCCTACTTTTTCTCTCTGTCTCTCTCCCTTTCTTTAAATCGGTCCTTCTTTCACTCTATATCTTTCTTTCTTTCTTTCTTTCTTTCTTTCTTTCTTGTGTTTCTCTTTTTATCAAATTTTGTTACTCTTTTGCTTTCTCTTTTTCACTTTCTATTTTAGTTTCTCTTCCCCTTTCTTTTTTCTTTCTTTCTCTTTCATTTTATCTTTCGCTCCCCTTTTCTCTCTTTCTCTCATCAGTTTGATTGTATAAACTTTATTTTCATGACTATTGCTAAAGCAGAACATTCAAAAATTCAAAATAATACTCTCAGTTACAATCACAAGAAAAGGAGCAAAAGAAGTACATAAATCATGAAACATTAACTCTCTTGTTCTCTCTCTCTCTCTCTCTCTCTCTCTCTCTCTCTCTCTCTCTCTCTCTCTCTCTCTCTGTCTCTCAGGCTCTTTGATCCAGTTGCCCTCAGTGGAGAGGGGAAAGCTCAGTAAGGTGCGGTTGGGATCTCTCTCTCTGAAGAAGGAAGGAGAGAGACAGTGCTTCCTCTTCACCAAACACTTCCTCATCTGCACACGCAGCTCAGGAGGCAAACTGCACCTGCTCAAAGTGAGTTCATTCAGAATCAGAATCTCAGTCTTCTTATGTTCATCTACAGGGAGCTGACCAATCCATGCTCTGCTTACAAATGTGTTCTTTCACTGACATTAAACAAGCTGACAAAAATTCTATTCAACTTAAAGGGAAATTGCAGCAGTATGTGGTTAGAAATGCTACATCATGTTAAGCTTCTAGTTTAAAATGCTGCACCACCAAGCTGGACTGTTTTGTGGTAGCCAGTTGAAACAAGGAAGGTTAGAATGACAACATTGAATTTATTTACATAACATTTACATGAAAAAAAAAAACTAGATGCAATCTGTCCTAAAAATCATGTAAAATTAAAAACACGCTTTAATTTACACATTTTGACAAAAACTGAATGATTTTGTTAGTATTCCGTAAAGCTCGTCCAACATTGCTACGAAAATACACATTTATTCCTTTAGAAGTATCAACATAAATTCCATGAAAAGTAAAGAAAAAATACATAAATTAGACAGTTTATATACTATATAAGCAGATAGTATTAAAGATGTGAAGTTATGGACATCTGTTATGCAATATTGTTATATACCATGTTGTGTTGTGCTGTGTACAGTTGCATTGTAAGTACTGAAGTTGTATGCAGCTAAAAAATACATATATACAGTACAAGATGTACAGAAGATGTGGGCAGCAGATATTTATACACACATAGTCTCTCTCTCTTACACAGGATCAACTCTTGTGCAAACACAAAAGCAGTCCCCCTGGACATGTCAAAAAATTACGAAACTAACCCTATCATTCAGTGTGTCCATCTCAAACTTGGCATCAGATTTGACAGTTCTGATTACGTCAGTGATGTTAATCACGTACAAGACTCTATATCCCCACTGTTCATTTTTTTCTGCTCAAAAGCTTGATCCTTTTGGAATTAAGCTCACCCACTCTCTCTGTCTGACCTTTTAGGTGAACACATTACTGCACACTGCCTCAAATTCACTTTCAAATAATACCACATAATACAACTGGCACACTGGCTACTTTCATGTGTAATTTATCAAAGTCTAAGCAATTATTATGAATGAGGCTGAAAGCTGTCGTTCAGTGTGTAAAGCAAAGGAAAGTGTGTTTGTGGAGCGGAGCTGCTTTTTAAAATTGCTGGCATATATAGATCATGCTGAATGCTACCTTTGAGGAACACATCAGGGGTTATGATTTCCTGTAATTGTACTACATCAATGGTTTTCTGTATTTTACTAGCTGAGAAAAGCAGCATGATCAATTATGACCGTGTTCCTCTTTGTTGAGAATGGAGAAAGACTGATTCTAGTTTTTTTTTTACACATATTCAGTTAAAGGTTTTGCTGGAATTGTGCAGAATGTTCTACTGTTCTTGAAAACAAGGCCTTTCAGGATGTCAGGTGCATGTGTAAGCCAACACAAATTAAAGCATTTGACATCTACAACACATGCAAAATGGAAATATCTTTAAATAGGGCTTGATTTGACCAGAATAAGTTAACACATTCTTTATGGAGAACAAACCTAAATATGGCATTTTTGCATAGTTTATGTATTTGCTGAGTTTAACATATTGGAAAAATATAAAATAAATTTTACCAATATTCTCAATAAATTCAGCAAATTAACAAAACATAGAAAATTCAACAAAACATAATTTGACTGGGCGCCCGAACTTTTGCATACGCCCATACATTAAAGTTAAAGAACATTTTTTCCTTCTCTTAGAAGGTAACGGATTTGTAGATATGAGGTTCTCTCAGACAATGACAATATATTATCAGTGATATTAGAGCTATTATTACTATTGCTGTTTATTTCTACTGATAATATTATATGTGGGCATTGTTTGTCTGACAGTACACACTGATACTACTAATTCCAACATCACTGACAAACCTCTTTTTTAACCCTTGCAGCAAGGTGGCGTGCTGTCCCTGATTGAGTGTACCCTCATTGAGGAACCCGATGCCAGTGATGAAGACTGTAAGTCTTCCTCTTGTTGCATTAACTTTGCTATAGTCATGTGACACATGCATAAGTTCTGAATGCATGCACTGTTAACTGTGGTTTATTCACAGAGGTTAATTAACTGTCAAAAGCAGGTCATAAGATGGAGCCCCCAACTAGCTTTTGTAAATGTCACATGGATCAATGCTATCATCATACAGATCAGTTAGCTCCCCTGAAGGCCAGAGTGGAATGCCCTTTAAATACTTTACGATTACCTCATCATGACCCTCTCATGATATCTGAGAATAATCCCTAGAGGCTTATTAAGTGAATGCCATCATTGTTATGGTAGCTGTGCTGCTGTTTATTCCTATTGTTTGTACATATTTCATGTGGCAATTACGTATACTGCTTTGAGAGATATCCTGTGTTAATATAATTTAATTATATTTGCTTTAAGCAGGGCTGCAATATAGCAATTACTTAAATGGATCCTATAAAATGCAACTGTGCTTGATTGAAATATGTTTTTTTTGAATGACTGCACATACAGATTCTGGCAGTGCTTTCTGTTGTGTGTTTCTCTCAGCTAAAACCTCAGGGCAAGTGTTTGGCCACCTGGACTTCAAGATCGTGGTGGAGCCTGCAGATGCTCCTGCTTTCACCGTGGTTCTTCTGGCTCCATCACGGCAGGAGAAAGCAGCCTGGACGAGTGATATCAGCCAGGTGAAGCAGACACCTTTAACACTTATTCATACGTATTCAACACTTACTCTGTGCTCTAGACTTACTCTGTATCTGATCACCACTCACCTATTACCTGCTCAGTGCTTAATCAGTACCGACGTCCCTCTTCAGTGGTAGACCTACGTGGCACCCTAAATGAAATTTTACGTACTGTCGTTCGTTTCCTTTTTGATGTGGTTTTCAGTGCTGTGATTTTGTCAGCGTTGATGATGACGGTCATTGAATGGTGTATTGTCAGAATATAAGCTGTTGGGGAATTAGGGCTATGCAGAACACAGTGGTCCAGACGTACATATAAGCAAAAATTGTCTTGATGCAACTACAGTATGCATTCACAATGTGTCCGTGTTATGCTATGCATAGCCTTGCCTACTAACTACTTGCTCATGAGGCTCACAGTTTAAAAGGCACATTAAACAATGGAGTCATCAAAAAGCTTGAGACAAAACAGAAAATTATGTTAATAAATGAAATTATATCCCTCCAAAATACACTACATTTTACTCAAATTAAAAAGTACAGTTTGTGGAATGATACCTTTGCACACATATTATAGCTGCAGTGGGCTTAATTTGTAAAAATTAAGTAAAACAAAAACAAACAAGTTTGTTTGTCACATCAATGCATATTATTTTGTTTTTTTTTATGAGAAAGGGAAGCACACAAATTTCTACAGTGCATGGTGGCTGCTTGCAAACGTTCTTTTACATTTGTGCATGTAGAATGACAACAGAATGGACATGTGGTGGCCGCACTCAAAGATTCAAAACAATTTTGGCTGCTAGTCGCAGCTATTTGATACTAGAATCATGTAAAAATAAAAAAACCCACCAGTGATCATCATGCCAAAAGTAACAGCGATCAGAGTTGAAAGCTGGGTAGCCTATCTGACAACATAGGCTATTTGAATAAATATAAAGTTGAATGTCTAAATTAATGTTTTGTCTAAATATTACAGCATTTATACTCAAGGCAAGAGCTGCACGGCTCACATCTAAATGCATAACAAATAAGTGTTGCTATTGTTTTATTTTTTTCTATGCCAAAATTTCACTGAAGCATATAACAATGTACACATGAGCAGTTTTGTTCTTTTATCGTGGTGTATAATTGCACTTGTTGATTAAGACAACAGTGTATTGCGTTGAAGTGAAATGAAAGCTTAGAGACTTAAGATCTTATTTTACTTCACAAAATATGTCTCAGGACAAATGCTACTTCTGAAAGTGGAAATGTTTTTGGAAGTCCTTCTTAGTATGTTTACAATGTCCTTGAGCATTGAATGTTCTCTCATTCACGGGATTCCCAAAACTGAACAAACAGCTAATAAATGGATGTCAGAAGCTAGTGGTTTAGAGGGATTTTGCATCACAGTGTATTTTGCACCATGTCTTCTCACACACAAACATCTCATCCAGAGAGTTTAAACAGCAATATTCTTTCAGCACATGCTTGGGGCTCATGCTTTCATTTAAACAACGCATCTTTTTTTCATTACCATTTTTCCCAATTCTCTGTTCAGTTAGTTGTGTCCAATTTTACCAATGTCTCCCTCAGTAACAAAAAACCACCAGCACTAGGAGAGTGAGGGCTAGCACATGCTTCCTCCAAGTAATGTGGAGCCAGCCACTGCATCTTTTTGAACTACTGCAAATGCTGCGTCATTGGCGCTCAACAGGCTGTTAGCCAACAGACACCTGTACTGGTTAGCATCATGCTAAGTGGTGGGGAGAGAGGGAGGACTATCCCACCCACCCAGAAAGCCAAGGCCGATTATGCTCTCTTGTACCCCTGGCAACACACGGCTGCAGCATCACTCGGGATTGAACTCAACATCTTTTGATGATAGGGCCAATGCTTAGACAGTTGCGCCGCTTGGGAATGATAACATGTCTCCCCTCAAATATATATGTATGAGGGAGAAAAGCATTTCTCCACACACATAGTCCATAAATTGTTTAGGCTTGTGTGCCAATTGCGTACATAACATACAGGCATGATGTATATGTATCCAATACATCCAATTTCACCTGTGTTGCCTATACCAGGGACTGCTGCTCTTATTTAGCAGTTGTTCAGAAACGCAGTAGTTTTCCAACACTTTTTTTTCAGTTCCATTCTTGGGGGCGCTTTGTATTTTTGTGTTTTCTTATACTTACATGCCTAAATAAACAAATCCTATGAATAGCAAGCCCCTCATTAGCCAAATTACGTGAGATAGAGCAGAGAAACTATAAAAAAGGTGCCTAGATTGTATGGAAAGGGCAAAATGTTCTACTGTTGTTGACCAAATGTTATTGTTATATTTTTGTTTGTTTTTGGCTTTCTTTTCATGCACAAACTAGTAATATGTCTAATAACATAAATCGCAGATGGCAGCAGCTTTAACAGCCTTGAAAATAAAAACACATGCATCAACAGGTGAGAGAGAGTGTGTCTCAGGGGAATTACCTCATTACTCTCTTGAGGATTATTTAGAGCATGTTAGTATTGAGAGATCACTCTGCTGGTTTTGTTGTCCCAGTATAATCCCTCCACCTGTTTACTGTCTATTAGGCAGAAAGTTAATACATATAGGGTACTTTATTAGGTACACCTGCCTTGTATTTACACTCGTTGGCTATTTTATCTCAAACACCTACACACACATTTTCTAAGCCGCTTATCCTTCTTGGTCATGGGGGGAGCAGGAGCCTTTCCCAGCAGTCATTGGACGGAAGGCAGGAAATACCCTGGACAGGTCGCCAGTCCATCGTAGGGCAGACAGGCATTCACACACACTCACAACTAGAGGGCAATTTAGCGTGTCCAATTAGCCTGGCCGCATGTCTTTGGACTGTGGGAGGAAACTCCACAAGAAAGAACCCTGGTCACCCGGCTGGGGAATCGAATCCACGCCCTACTTGCTACCCTGCTTCCCATGCACCAACGTGCCGCCCGAAACGCCTACAGTATAGTCCAAAGATAGGGACTTCAACATGACTCTGACTTGAAAACTAAAAAAAAATGGAGCTATTAAAACTTTTTAAATAAAAGTTTTCATTTCCTATCTTTCATGTACGTCTTGCCTGTCTGTTTTGTTACAGTCATGTGCGGTCGTGGAGGCCTCACACTGGCATCATATTGAAATAACAAGCCTTTTATAAATAACAGCTTGAAAAAACTACCTGAAATTGTTGGCTTCCACATAGACAGACAGTATGTTAGTGCAATGGCTAATTTAGCTGAAGTTGTCAGCTCATCTAGCTGAACTTTTAATATGTTACAGCTCAGATTCCCTTAAAATGTACTAAAACCTCAACTGGATTTTTTCGCTAGCTAGCATAGTTGCTATGCAACCTACAGACTAACTAGCTGTTTTGCTTCTTTACTTTACAGCAAGTAGTGCTTCAGTTCTCTTCCTCAGACTGAATGTATTCCTACAATAAAAGGCTTGTTATTTGAAGCCATGTTGAACCTGGCAGGTTTTTAGTAGAGATTTACTTTTGTTAAATGCAGTGCCTGCAGCATATAATTCTCTACTGAAGACCTGAGACGCAATTCGACTTGAACGCTAGAGACTCGAGACGTGACTTGAACTCACATGAAGGAACCTGTGAACATTTATATTTAAAGTGCACTTATACAATTACTAGTGATCCACAGATCAAACAGAGTGAATTGGTATCGGCAACAATATTAAATATGTGGACCGTATATGAGATATCCACATTCAATACTGTTTCTTAGTCATGGTCAGTGTAAAATTGTTCTCTAAAATTGCAGTTTTATCATCCTTTTAGAGCAATATGATTAAAATTATGCTAAAAAATTATGTTGCAACATGATCCTGTCCACTATGACACATTCGCTTCTACTATATATTTGTATTCATGTCCATTGATACTAGTGCCTAAACAGAGCACTGGGATTGGATCGGTGCTTGGTATCAGCTTTTATTTCAGATACTGGAATCTGCATCAGAAGAGAAGAGTAACAATTGCTGATTGTATCACATCTGTAGCTATGCAAAATTACCAGCCATCAACTACACACATCAGTGGAAGTGACCACTGTTGGACCACTGCTGACCTATATTAATATTTCTTATAGTGCATTGATAACATCCGCTGCAATGGCCTGATGACCAGTGTGTTTGAGGAGAACTCTAAAGTGACTGTGCCTCACATGATAAAGTAAGTTGGAGAAACTGACATGCTATGTTTTTACACTCTCCTATGTGCTGTATATGTGTATGTGGGTCTGTGTGCTGTCTGCTGATGGGCACTACTCCTGCTCCTGTCTTTATGACATTTCCATGGCACATGTCCGTGGCTTGTTGTTATTATCCTTGTTGTTGTTCAGTGTTTCCTTTGAGCTCATTATTTGATTGTTGCATTGTGTTTGTTCGTTTAATATCAGTCAAAGTTGGTGAAAGGGTGGATTTTCATTTTCCCAGTAAGACATTTCTTTCCATTTCTTTCCAATCGTGGTCCTGGAGTACCCCTCCTCTGCGTATTTTGGTGTTTTCCCTAATCAGCTTATTAACAGGCCTTCTTGAGCGGAATTGGGTGTGTTAGAGCAGGGAAAACACGAAAATGCCCAGGACCAACGTTGGGAACCACTGAGTCAAACCAAATTCATGAAGCACTTTAATTTTCCCATGCCTGTCTTTTTTCACTGTAGAAAGACTGTTTGCATTGTGAAAGTGCTGTTCATTGCTACTTTTTGCACATTCATGGCACTTCTGAGTAGACGCTGCCCTCAGGCTTCGGGTCGTAAAGCCGCTTTGCTGTGTGCTTCTCATTAGATCTGATGCGCGTCTCCATAAAGATGATGTTGACATTTGCTTCAGCAAGACGCTCAACTCCTGCAAGGTTCCCCAGATCCGCTACGCCAGTGTGGAGCGGCTGTTGGAGAGGCTGACCGATCTGCGCTTCCTCTCCATCGACTTCCTCAACACCTTCCTGCATACCTACCGCATCTTCACCTCTGCCACCGTGGTCATGGACAAGCTGGCAGACATCTACAAAAAGCCTTTCACCTCCATCCCTGTCAGGTAACATGGCTGGCTAATGGATTAAGAGTATGAGTGGCCTAGCTTGTGTTAAAATTAGATGTGCGTGCAGACAGCTTATAATTTCCTATGGAAGAGCTGTAGAATTAGAGAGACACTCTGGATAATAATGAAAAATGCAACCATTGCTGCATCTGTTGTAAACATGCCTATGCAACTCCTACAGTGGTACCACAATAGTCTTAAGAGTGAGATTTTTTGGTTTGAAGACTAGGAAAAATCTTAAGAGGATCTTTTGAACATGATGCTTTTGGATGTATAAATGAGGGCAGTACTAGCTGGTTAGTACAGAAGAAGCCAGCTAAAGTTGGCGCTAGGAAGCCACATATCACATCTGTATTTATTAGCTTCTGAGAAGTCCATGAGTGGATTTCCTTGTCACCATGGAATAGCGATAAATAATAAAGGATATAATATAGGGCAGAAGAATATATTGTCACTGTTGGAACAAAACCTCATATCTGCAAAATGGTAACTTCTCAGGGGAAGAAAAAAAAACATCATTAACTTTTAATGTAACATATTGAATCAACATTGTATTCCAAGTAATTGTGGACCATTTTCTTAGAAATAAAAGACAAAAAAAGGAGTAAAAAGACAGTTAGACAGAGTAAGAAAGTGGAGCGTTTGCCATGTATGTCCTTTCCTCCCTTAGACATAATGACCTTTTCAACTGGAAAATGTTTTCTTTTCCAAAAGCAGGTGTTCTCCGAAGTTAAATTGTTGCACACTTGGTTACTTGGAGCAAAGAAAGCAACTCAAAAAGCCTCACAGATTCTTCCTGAACTATGTCATCAGTGTTTATCTCTCTGTGTGCTGTGCTTTTTAGTTTATGACTTTTTCCACTGGTGGGAACAGCTTGTTGTCAAGAACAAACAAATAATGTGCGTATGTAAGGAAAAAAACATCAGAATTGTTTGCTGCTGCTGTGACTCCATTGCTACATTTCCTCAGAAGCTTTCTTTGAAAGCATATTCTATATTTTCAAGTTCTGTGTCTGATGTTATTGTCATTGTCAGCTATGTGGAGTGTCTCTGGTATGTGGTGACCCTCATTCCCCTCCGTACTTTATCACACAGGGTTCAGTACCACTCATTTGACCGCTTGTCCATCACATCCATCTGTCCAGACTACAGCTTGAAGATCAGGAAGATAGCCCTGGACCAATCAAAGTAACACACAAAGTCTCTGTCTCTCTCTCTCTCTCTCTTTCTCCCCACCCTGTTGCTTGCTCTGTCTTTCTCTTTTGTAATCTATAACCTCTATAACCTCCTCTGCCTCTTATCGTGTGATTTACTATACCCATCAGATGCCCTGGAGTGAATTTCTGTTAGTTTCACAAAATGAACATGAATGAATCCCTTAGGAGTCCCTCAAATATTTGTAGAGTGTTTTTTTCTGAACAAAGATTAAGGTTTGTTATTCACCAACACTACTATTCTCCTGCTAGACACTATCAGAGTCTGGAAAACAACTGTTTTCTACTTTTTAGCTGCAGCAGTCTGGAATCCACATTGATTAGATTTTGCTAGATCCTCCTTTTTTTCCATTCTGCACAGATAATCCATTGTGCCTGCTCACAATGTTCCTCATCCATCATCCCTATGTTGCGTTGTTTTGCTCGTCTTTGTTGTCTCTGTTCGCCAGTCAGAGATGAATACACGCTGTCCCTGCCCCTCCTTAGCCAAAACTCAGACAGGAAGCATGCTGCTGTGCTGCACAGTCTCACCCTCACTCTGTCACATATGTGGCCTGCTCCATCATTTTGAGCCCTGTTATTACAGAAGCACATTTTGACTTTTATATGCAGCTGAAAAAAGGAAAGTCTCAGCTTTTATCACATGCACAGGTAAATCTGATGCGGGTGATGTTTTCATCCAGCAGTCAGAACATAATATTTATTAGATGATATTGAGAGACAATACACTGTGGGTCCACAAGTATCCAGATGTCCTTTCGAATAAAAGAGAGTGAGTTCAACTGCTTTAAGGTCCACCCACTGCTGACACAGATGTTCAATTTGTGCACACACAGTGTGTATAATGTCCACAGAAAAGCATTGTTAATAGAATAGGACACTCTGGAGAAGCCACATATGGGCCTAAGGTCACCATGCATAATGCCAAGCATCGACTAAAGGGGTATGAAACCCCCCAGCATTGGGCTGTGCAGCAGTGGAACAACATTCTCCAGAGTGATAGAGCTAACAGTACCTTTGGGCTAAGTTGGAGTAACGTGTAATCCAGAACTAATCGTCTAACGTCAGTACCTGAACCAACACTTATGTGGCTGAATGCCATCAAATCCTCACATCAGTGTCACAGAGTAAAGCTTTCCCAGAAGAGTAAAGGCTGTTACTGCAGCAAAAGAAAAAACTCCCTATTAATACCCTTGAATTCAGGATGAGCATGTGTCTACAAACGTCTGGACATGTAGTGCACTTTTCAGCCAAGTGTTCTATCCATGCTTCACTCATGAAATGCATTCTTTTATAGCAACTATTGCTTTTGATAAATAGGCAAAAATCACATCCAACATAATAGGAAATCGTAGCACAAAACATTTTGTGGGCTATTAATTTGAGGTGATATTTATTATATATGCGTGTGAAAGGTGACACTGTTGTAATGTTTTTATTTGTCATATAATCAAGTTAATATTAGCAAACAAAGAGCAAAATTCAGTTTATTGCCACTGTTTTTTCCAACCTGCTGTTTTCATCAACTTATACAGCTAAGTAGCATAGCATGACATAATGTTGTGTCTCTAAACAAACACTGGAGTGATAAAATACCTTATGTGCTTTTACAGAAACTAGTTACAATTTCTCATTAAGTTGAATGCCATTTTTTCCAACCTTCTGCAAAAACAAAAAGAGCTGTAAAAAGAGCTTCCATAGCTAAATGCATTTCCCCAAAAATTGGCAATAGAGTATACTTTAATTTTTAGACCAAAATAAAATTCCTTCATTTTCAAGCATAAATAAAAAAAGCAAAAATTTAGAAACATAAATTTAACATCTGTATATCAGTACTGTGTAAACAGATCCTCTAAATCAAAATTCTGGGTGACACTTTATTTTGAGTGGTCCTTTTAGATGAAACAAACACTCAACAGCCTCTCAGTAACATGTCAAAAACATATGAGGGTTAGGGTTAGGTTTTGGGTAAGGTTGGGTAAGGTTAGGTTTTGTTTAATGGAAGAAACACATTAACAATACATCTACTTAATGTAAGTAATGTATCAACAGCACATCTACAAGATATTTACTTTAATTTATTCAGATGCTTCACTACTGCTACTTCACTGATATGTTGCTGATGTGTTACTGATAATCTGTTAAGAGTTTATTAATCATCTACAAAGGACCCCTCCAAATAAAGTGTTACCAAATTCTGAATCATTCTAAAATAACAGATTAAAACAAGAGATTTCATGATGCACTGGAACATTTCGTAGGGATTCAAAACTAAATCAAGTACAGATGTACACCCCTGAGAGCTTCTAATCTCTATTTCATTTTCACAAAAATATTGACACAGTGTGAAAGCTGAGATGTCATTGGATCAGAAACCGCTTAAACATGAATATAGTCCAGAATCGACTTTTTGACCTGAAATCTGGTTTCTACACAAATAAAACTCAGACTCAACATTGCGAACTCCGACTCAGGACAATACAAAATTGTCACACATCTTGTCTGCTGATGTTACTTTTTCATCTCAGGTCCTTGGAGCTTTTCTTTGCCACCAATCAGAACAACCGCAATAGCAACAGCAGCGACCACCCCAATGACAAATCTCCCCGGCTGTGCCGCAAGTTTTCCTCCCCTCCGCCCCTTTCCATCCCATCCCGCACCAACTCCCCTGTCCGCGCCCGCAAGCTCTCCCTCAACTCTCCTCTCAACTCCAGAGTGGGCGCCTTGGACCTGTCCACTAACCCCACCTCCTACTCAGCTGCCAGCAGCCCCACCTCCGCCAACCCTACCACCTCCCCCCCACCCTCCACAAACCCCCGCTCCCCACTGGACCTGAGCCGCGGTCAGAGCCCATCCTCACCTGAACAGAGTCCCGGTGCTCAGGACGACAATGCTGATGCTCCCCGTATAGATGCCCTCTGTGGAAAACTGCGCCGCAGCATCAGGAGAGGTAAGATCATTAGAGCTCATCCATTAACCATGAGACAGAAACAAAAAGACAGATAACAATGTACTTGATATATATATATATATATATATATATATATATATATATATATATATATATATATATATAAAACAAATTGTAATAAATAAAATATATGGTAACCAAATTATTTTTTAGGTGATGCTAGCAGGTGCTAGCAGGCTAATAAATAATATTTTCCATCCCCAGTCCTGGAAGCCCACTGCCCTCCACATTTTAGTGTTTTCCCTGCTCCCAATATGCCTAATCCAACTAATCAGCTCATTAACAACCTCTACTGAGTTGGGTGTATTAAAGCAATGGAAAGCATTAAAATGTGAAGGGCGGTGGACCTCCGACCAGGATTAATAAACAAGAGGCTAGTTGTAACAGTAACGAAAAAGTCTGGCAAATCAATACAAAGCGATTAATTTTATACAATTCTACATTGATCGAACCTCAAAATCTCTTACTGTGAGTTATTCATATGCTTCAAATGGTGCTATATTGGAGCCATCAAGAAGGCGAATAAAATATTACAGAGTGAAATCTGACACGTCAGTAAACAAAACATTTAGATTGAAAAAATAAGACTTTTATGATACAAAAACACTTTCATGAAATATCTGTCTGATGGCTGATGTTACCATGGAAATACAAGAAACATGTATTGTTACTTTCAGCCACTCTAAGGCAAACTAGTTGGTTTACTAGACGCCATAGAAGGAAGAGGTTTCAGTCAGGGAAGCTGCCCATTCAAATGAACCAAGGGGCTAACATTGGAGCTAACATGAAACGTTATAGTGATTTTGGTTTTTGAATACTGCCTGGAACAGATAACAATTTGAAATGTTAGGCAGCAAGTAAATATACTTACTAGTAAATATACTACGCTATAGAGCAGCAAAACACGTTTTTCTTCATAACTCCTACACCATGATGTGCAGAGACAAAATTCTTCTTGACTCTGATTCCTTGGGTCAAGACAAACAACTTTGCAATTTGGACCATTTAGCTCTGCCCACTTAGATTTTTTGCTAATTTGCATAATAAGCAAAACCTACTTTTGCGAACTAGTTCTGGGGTTTTCGCGCAATCCTCATGTGTCTGGTATCAAAGTTCAGAAGAGGCTGAACCTCAATAATTATCAAAAACATGTTGACTTTTATAAACAATATGGCTGCCATATGCTAATTAACCCTTCTGAAATAGTTCAAAATTCGTTTAAAACTCTGTAACTGGAGAATGCTTCTGCCAACAACATTGAAACTTGACTGACATATTCATGAGAAGATTCTGTAGTAGCAAATCAATTTTGTTGGGCAAATGTCATTAGGGGGCCAATTAGGGGGACAATTTGATACATTGAAATTTATGGCCGCCCTCAGCCAATCAGCATTCAGAAGGCTTTTGACAGGCTTAACATTGACCAATTATCATGAAACTTGGAAGGTGTCTGTATGTAGCCACTTAGTAACAATCAGTGAAGTTTCAACAGATTTGGCCACTGGGAGGTGCTATTCATAAAAATTGATACATTATTACGTGATGTTAATATATTATTACTATTTTTGACCCAAACTCCGCATGCATCTTATGCAGTACAGTGTACCGAACAATTTTACAATTGCATGTTTATTACAAGAATGCATATTGTTTTTGTAATCATTAACTGTTTGAAAACCATGCTTTTCGAACTATTCTCTGGGTTTTGATCCAAACTTCTCAAAGTTGGTCTAGAAATACTCTGTGGCCTCTGCAGGTAAATAATTATCAAAAAAATATTGACTTTTTCACTCAATCTGGTGTTGCTCCATCCATACATCACTGCGGCCATGGCATAGCTAGCTTAATTTGCTATAACTCATCAGTCTTTGTATCATCTCAAAACTTTGAGTACTTATATATATTGAGGCTCAGACAGGATGTTCGAAACTTGGTCCAGATAAGACCTTTAGAGGGCGCCTTAGCTGTCAAAAACCCCAAAAATCATTAAAGATGCTATTACAGTGTTGTTACAAAGTCTACAGACAAACACGTGGTGCCATTTGATTCAGTTCACTGACCTGAATAACTTTGTAATTACATGTTATGTCAAATATTTCACTCCTTGTCTAGTATTTTGAATTATTCCTTCAACAATTACAGCTTATTATTCTAAGGTCAAAAGGTCAATCTGAACAAACTCAGTAAACAGCTTTGATGAACTTCCCTGATCAATTATCATATAGATAGCCCTAGAGACCTTTTGACCAATTCTAAACCGCTTTCACTTAGCTCCTTTGTGCCAAAAGGGTCCCTTACGAGTGCACTGGGTCTCATTATGGCCTGATTATTACAGGCTTAAACATGGAGAAATAAAACATTTTGCAAACACTATGACAGAAATTTACTCATGTGTTTTTGACATCTATGTTGATAATCCATTGCATGTTCTACAAATCTTTGTAGATCAGTCCATAGAAATATAAACATATGTTGAAAGTGAAATGGTTCATGACAAATGAAGGCCTTTTGATAAACTCAGATTTCATTTCAGCCTCTATGCCTATATGGCCCAAACTGCATTAGACCTTATTAGGCCTATTTGGGTCAAAGTGCATGAGAGCTTCTTGTGCTTCTGCGTGCTTGGACCCGCTCATTGCCGCTTGCGGCTATATTTTCGTGTAGTATTTCCGCACTAATTAAGTACTTTGGGCTTTGTGTTTAGCAGACAAAGACTGATTTCTGTTCTCCCCTCCTGCCTCTTCACTAGCGCTGACTAGTAGATTTATTGCCAATGTGTTAGTCCACTAGTCAACTAGCCTGTGCCACATCTAATGTGTGCACTTACTGGCCACTTTGTTAGACACTATATTATTAGCTGTGCTTACAATGATCCTCCACCCAAATATATCTGGCCAGCAGTGGTTATTTGATGGCCACTTTCCACTGAGGGTGACTCACAAATTGTGCAGTTTGGCTACAGTCAGTAATTGTATACCTAGTGCAGCAATAATGTAAACAGAGCTGAGAAAATGAACGATGATTGTAACTACAAGGTACGTAATAAACTAGCATATAAACTAAACCTCACCAAGGGTGACTTCTGCCTCAAAGAAAAGCACTTTTATAGCCACAAGGGATGCCAAACCGAAGTTGCTGACTCCATTTTTCCCCCCAAAGCGTTGTTCCTTCTACATGATCCTGAATCCTGCATGTTTAATAGTATTTTAAAATAATGCATTCGGTCTGAGAGCCAAATCCTTAAAACATTATTTTCTTTTATATACATCTGACTAGTATTGTAGCATCTCCCTGTAAACCACAGGAGCCAGTCATTCTCAGTTTTTGAGTGCTCTCCTAATACAAAACAGAGCTTGTTAAGCTGTTTGGCCAAACAAGCATTCCTCTCAAAATTATGGGCTTCTGCTTGCTACTGGTACCATGTTAAATACAGCAAGACGTATCAGCGCAGCTGAACCCAAACCTGTTCATTCTTAATTCGACAAATGGAGTTGTCAGCTCCCTTAATTCTCAGCTTTGTCAGCAAACTGATCTGAAGTGTGTTGCATGTGAAACGGGCCAATAATTGTTCTCTTAGATTATTTTCCCTAGAAAGATGGGGCTGCTCCTTGTGGAGTCCACAGTTCCAGCTGCTACACTGATTTCATTCGCTCCTCAACAAATTGCAGTAATGGGCTTGCGTTGTTGTTGTTGTTCCTCCATGCCTGTGAAACCAGCGACGACGGCAGAGTGATGTTTTTGTACACCATTAGCATTGATGCATTGCTTTTGCACGCTCTCGGGGAATCCAAAGAGAGTCTTCTTGATCTACTGTTTTCATTTACAAGTTTACAGTGTGTTTCCGTCGCAGAGTAATAATGCAATAATCATTTTCATATGCTTTGTCAAAGTTTTGATTAGTTTTTCGATTATCTGTTTGGGTGGCAGTGAGAGAATTGATTTTATACTTTAGAGGCCAGTGCTGTTTGTGTTAAAGTGTAGAGAAAAGCACTGATAAGCCTGTTTTGCTTCCATCAGTAAAACTGCTCTAGTAAATCTGTTTGTTTGAAGCTTTGTCTTTATTTAGATTGTTGCTGTTCTATAATGAAACCGATGTCTAAAGGTCTGCCAGAGCTGCAACTTGGCGGTTGAGAGTGAGATGCTAATGTAGCCTAAACACAGAGGAGGTTTATGCCAGGCTTGTTTTCATTCCTCTTTCTTTTGGATCAACAAGGATGTAAATAAATAAGATCATTCAGAGAAAAAGGGCAGGTTATCCAGCTCAAGCTACCAAAAGAAATGAATGAAATAAATATCAGAGAAACAAAGAGCTTGATTCATAGGAGCCCACAGTTCTTTGATAAATCTGTTATAACTGCAAACAGGTAACTTGTATAAAAATAACTTTTTGTCATATTTGCTAAAACTGTCACTGTGTCCTGACAGTGCATGAGACAGATAATCTGTAAAAAAAATCAGGCTCCTCTGCTCCACCTAGAGCTCCTAATACCATTTGTAAAAAATCCACTGCGCCCAAATCAAAATAACCATTCAGAGCCAGGAGGAGTGTCAAACACTGCTTGCGCACATGCTGCAGTCAGCCCCTCTTCCCCTGCGCTTCATCTCTCATTCAAGCTTAGTATCTTCAGTGATTGGCTTCAGGAACTCAAACACAATGGTAGATAAACAACCACCAGCAAGTAAAAAACTGTCCATCCCTCCTTTGCCAACCGCAGCATTCATGAGAAAAACAAGTAAACAGAAGAAGACAAATGAAGAGAAGCAAGCTAGTTCCAGGTCTTACTGTTGTGTGCTCCATGCTGTTTACCTGGCCTCTTCAGTTGCCATGGTTGCTGGCCTGCACATGCACAGCAGCCTCCTCTGCAGGAAGGGGCTTTGGAGGCAGGGCTGGAGCTCAGCGGAGAGGGAGGGGAAGGGAACTAAGTCACCTCTCTTCTCAATCCTGCGTACTGTGGCTTTAAGTACAGGGTGAACCTGTCAGACCTACTACCTGTCATACCTATCAGCTATAGAGACTGGATTTTTTAAGCTCAGTGCCAGTGCCTGCACTGTTTTCTATGATGAGGCAGTGAGTAGGCCTATAGAAGCAGTTTGTTGTCAGTGCCCTGTTGTAAGCTGCATATGCTTTACAGGTTTACAACGTTAATAGAGTTGCTTGAATTTTCCTTTTGTGCAGTTACAAAATTGCTGTCTGAATGGGTTGAAAGATTTAAATGAGGTTCGGTGCAGGGTAGGCTTGGTGTGAAGCTAATTACTATGCCAGCGTTAGATAATTTTTAATATAGTTTTCACATGTCATCCACTATGGAAAAGAAATATATTTAGCAAATGCATTTGAAAATGTATGAAAATTGCCAGTTTTTTTTTGTTTGGGGTTGTTTTTTTTTCCTTTATGTGGTTTAGTGTTTGAAATATTTGGGAATGAAACAATGTATTTGAAATGTATCTTGCATATAAGAAATAAATTCCCTTGTATTTCAATTCCATATGTGATTACTGGCCTTTGTTGGGTTTGCTGAAACAACTATTTGAATGCTCATTAAATTAATTGTTACAATTTGATTACTGATAAATATTGAAAATGCCCTTTCATACTGTGCTGTGTGTGTTTGATGGTGTTTCCTTCTTCCTTCAGCTGTGCTGGAGTCAGTCTCACTGGACAAGTTCATCCCTGAGTCTCCTCAAGGCAGCGAAGCAGGAGATCTCTCTCCTTGTCGATCACCCTCAACCCCACGGCACCTGCGCTACAGAGGACCTGGAGGTAACACTATGTTTGTAGTTGTGTGTGTATATGTGTGAGAGAAGGAGCAAGCGAGAGAGCAGATGACAAATAAAGCCATTTGCAATCGTCTTTCAAACTTTTTTAATAAAAAACTTCGCTGGTGCGAGCCGGGTTCTGCTAATTTGGCTAGTTTATTTCAGAACAGCCTGTGTTTTTGTGACCCATATGGTGAAGTGCTGAACTGCTGAGATTTGACTGTAATGAAGAGAAACATAGTAGGAAGTTCCATTTTCATTAGCCTCCATTTACACAGTCACTAGCGAGAGGCTAGTGCAGAGACTGCCTCTTGACTCTATTTAAAGACATAGTTCAGCAAAAAGTGTAATTTATCAGCCAAGATGTTGTTTTATGTCTGAAATTTTCTTCTTTAGTTTAGCACTGGAGCTACAAGGCTAATGTGGTTAACAAGAAATGGAAGCTTATGTACAACAGTTTGCATCATAAACTGCATGCCCAAGTCATCACACACTTGCTGCAAACTGTCCCTCTGATGGCACTACATGAAAAACAGGCATGCTTCTGTGATGGATATCACTACGTGACCTCAGGGATAATTTGACAGACTGTATCTCAGCTTTTTTTGGAATTGAGGTTTGTAGACTTACAAATGTGGTTTCTGGCACTGTATGACATACTGTTAACATATAAAACATATGACTTTAAAGTGGATACTATGTCTATTTTCAAATATGCCGTGTAGTCTAACTTTATAGATAACGTTATGTTATATAGTGTCAGGGATCACTTAAGCAAGTCTATTTGTGGTTAATCAACAGTTCATAGTAGTTTAATGCAAGTGTGTGATGATTTAGGCATGTAGTTTACACAATGCTGATGAGTGGATGTATGCTTCCATTACTTGTTGGGTCCATTAACCTCATAATTCCAGTGCAAAAGAAAGGTAAACATCAGGCACCAAACATGTCTTGGCTGATTTACTAAAATTGTGTAAATTAGATTTTTTTCTGACTTACTCCTTTGAAGTTGACTGGTTCTCCCTCTTCTCAAAGAACAGTAAAAGTGGAATTTGGGCAGTGGATGCAGTGCTTGAGTATCTTTTACCCAGAGTTCCTGTGGTCTCATACAGCTTTCAGGAAAAACCACTATGCAAAACTTGGTCAAGCCAAACATGGTCAGGCCAGTCCTCAAAGAGGCCCAGTTCTGCTAATAAATGGCCCCTGTGTATTAGGGTGTCATTCCACCCAATTTATCTTGGGGCTGAGTCAGTCAAATAATGTGTTTGGATGACATTAAAGGAAGGTTATGTATAGAAGAGCTGGAACAAGCTTACATAGTATTTATCTTATTTCCAGCAACACATGCTCATAATTGGCATGGATTGGTGCTGGACGCTCCTCCATCTGTATTGTTTGTTCATCTTTTATTATTACACTCCTGCAATTTTGTTAATGCCATATGTGCTGTATAAACATACATTATTTTCCTCTGTGACCCACATTTGCATGCACTCACTCCATGTAGTCTCATGTGAGAAATTATGTTTCTGCAATCTCATGCGAAATTTCCATGGAAAGCCATCTCCATATGGTCACTAACACATGGCGTAGCCTTGGTTACCGTAAGGGGTGAGAATTTTCCCAAGGGGTCTTTCATTCCGTATCCATTTATGTATACAGTCGGTAACACTGGCAGTCAAGCTATGCTGTAGTCATGGAGAGTTCTTGTTTGTTTACGTTACATATTACCCCACTGACCCATTCCTCAAACACGTAGCCTGTCTTCCTCATAGCTTTGCTTTTATGTATTTTTTCTGTATCTCCCCCCACTTCAGTCCCGGCGGCAGAGAACTCGCGCTGTTCGGTGTCTCCAGCCTCCGCGTTCGCCATCGCCACAGCAGCAGCCGGCCACAGCAGCCCTCCAGGTACTCAACAGCAGACAACATCGCTACAACGCACAGCACAGACAGAGCAAAGCAGAACATCATGTTCTACTAGGAGCTTTTTATAGGCATGAGTGAATATAGCTCCAACACAAGCATTTTCTGTACATTTAGCCACGGAAGTTGCCCACAGATAATGATGATCCACCCTGTTCATTTCTGTTCTAGGTAGCTAATGTGCAGCGGTTCAGGCTCCTCGAGGAAGGATTTAGGAATTTGTCAGGTGCCTTAGGGTGCTAAAAAATTAATTACTTTATCAGTTATAGTAGTTAAAGCTGCAGTATGTAAGATTTTTTGTTAAGGTTGAAAAACACATACAAAAATCTGATGTTTGTGCGCTGCAGCTAGTCAAAGCCTGAAATGATCATTTAAAAGTCAGAGGCATTGGGTTGGATTTTGCAGCAGTTTTTCTAACTGTGTCATATGTCTTTACATATTAACAACACAGGCAGACTCAAAAAGATGGTCCAGGTTGATGTTTAGGTCTCAAGTGCAGCATTGCACTGATGAAGATATGATGACAATAGTAGATAATTTACTTACATCCTCTGAAGACAGGTCTGTCACCAAGTTTTGATTGCATTCGCTTTGAATACTCTTTCAACTCTGATCAACTCACAACCAGTGTTACAAAAAGTTTTTCCGCATGTTACATGCAATTACACATTTCCAGATGCGCAGAGCTTACATAGTGTAGCTTGTGTACCTATGTAATTCCGTTAAAAATATACTGAAACAACAAAGTCTCTGTAATTCTCTAGGCTTTTTTCTGTCTTTTGTTTTCTAACGTGGTCGGTGGTCAATAGAGTGATATTTGGGCGCATTAACTTAAGACTTCTGTAAATGCTAAGTTGAACCGGTGATGTTTCTTTTGTTCCTCCTTTCATTTCAAGTTTTCAGCAACTCGGAGAGGATGTGTGACAAAGAGTTCATCATACGACGGGCAGCCACTAATCGGGTTCTGAATGTCCTCCGCCACTGGGTCTCCAAACACTCCCAGGTTTGCTTACTGTGATAACTATATGCCTTTCCTTCCACTGTACGCACAGCGAGGATGTTAGCCAAGCCTCAGTAAATCAGCAGCACACTGCAGGTGCTCTGTAGCAGTGTTTCCCAACCCTGCACAATGTAGTGCTTTCCCTGCTTTGACCCACCCACTTCAACTCAGTAGGTGGTTGTTAATGAGCTGATTAGTTGGATCGATGTGTTGGGAGCAGGGGAAGCACAAAAAATGTGCAGAGCAGTGGGCCTTCAGGACTAGGGTTGGGAAACACTGTTCTATACCATTTAAAGCAACATTATTAGATCCTGGTCCTGGAGTACGCCTGCTCTGCATAATGTGGTCTAAGAATGGGCTTGTTAATTAGCTGACCCAGCTAACTAACCCTGTTCTAACATCTCATCTGTGATGCATTTAGAGTCTGGATCTTTGCCTCTTTTAATTTCACCCACATGGGAAAAAATGTATCAGTATGTGGAATTGGAGCTTTCTGTACAGCACTCAGTTTCTATCACCACATAAAAGAAGGACCATAATTCCATTATTGTTAGACATGCAGCATTTTCCAAGCGAGCGTGCACAGATTCTTGTGTGTTCTTGTTCAAAAAGGTACCAATTCTAGCACGTTGTTAATGTTAATAAATGGAGTAAATGGCATAGACCCATTTTACATTGAACATAACATAAAATGTGGCCTGTGCAAAAGTTCTAGTGCATTTTATATTTATATTTGTGGGAAAAAAACTGTGAAAAAATAATTCACTTAATAATAATAATGGAATATAAAATGTTTTTAAATGATAAACAATACTAATGGTGCACAAAGCAGCTTCAGTTATTTTTAGCCCCTTGCTTCTATATAAAAATAACAGTCTTATAAAATGCCTGGCAGAAACATTCCTCTGAGTTTCACAGTTTTGCCCGATTTCTAGTGTGAAACAGGCTTATGTTAGCCTAATCAGATGATGTTTTATGTTCATTGACACTTGTTGCATATTACAGGGTAGATACCCAAACACTGCTGTGCTGAAAATTGGCCATAAATGACGTTTTTAAGCAAAAAATTTAATTCTTTCCCTCTGTGGGCCTTCATGCTTTCAAGTGATGGGGAGGTCTTGAGGTGGATAAGCCCGGGAAACTCTGCTTAAATTATTTTTGCTTAGGAAATAAAATGTGAACAGGGGTGTTCATATTTTTGTATATGACTCTATTTGGTGTCCAAAATGTATTTATTTTGTTTTACACTGGAGCTACAAGGCTAATGGTGCTTATAAGTAATGAAAGCGTATAGCTAACCAATTAGCATTATGCTAACTGCTCCTTAAATCATCAAATTTGTCTCAAACTGAGATGTGTTCATTTCAGATAGACTTGCTCTGATTTGTGATACTGTACAACTACAAATAGTGTACACACGTATGTTATTATGTAAAAAACAGTTATAGCAATGATCTTGAAGCCAGAATTGTATTCATTTTGTGTCCACATCAAATCTCTTGCCTGATTGACTATTTTTCAATTAAATCATTTAAAGTTGATTTTTGACCAAACTCTAGCTTTAAGATTCATTTTCTGTCCTTTGCAGTATAATCTATAACCCTTTTGGATTGTAATATATGTATAATTTCTTATACATTCCTGGTGTCCCTCCTTAGAGATGTTTCCTCTGAAAAAGCTAAGCAGACAGCTCTGCCATCTGACTGCCACCTGCCTATACCTCAGGCTCATTTTTTAACAAGAAGTTTGAACTCTGACCTTTGAGAGTATGCATGTTCCCTCAAGTTACTGACCTGCTCCAGATGACTGTTGAGCAGGTTAGTTCGCTAAAGGTTAGAACTGGCAGAACTGAGCTATTTTGACTTCTTTTAGAACATCTTAGGCAACTTATTCTTGCCATATTAGCTTCGTCAGTGCCCTGGCTGTAAACGCACAGACAGCTTCCAGACTCCACCTCCGGGCTCAATGCCCCCTGTTTTACAAGTTAGCGGAAGCATGTCATCCCTTTCACAATTTCCATGCCATTATCACAAGCAAATCCAATTACCCTGTACAAACAGTGCCAGATCTTAATTACAATAGCAGCCAGTTTTATTTCTTGACTCTCTACACACAGCTGTTAAACCCAACGGTAATGAAAGCGTAGGAAACAGCACCTTAAGCATCTAAACCTTCACACTTAGAAGGAGTGACTCGTATTCGTTGCACTTAACCCTTGATAAGTGCATGTTCAATAATAGCAATAAAGGCTGATCGCTTGTATTGACTTAAAGCTAGCTGTTTGAGCAGTCGATTCTTTCCTCGTGGAAGGGTGCTTAGGCTTCTCTGCCTTTATTGGGCCTGTCCTCTGCTCCCTCGTTGATGGAATTATTCCTCGCCAGTGTGCAGTCGCCCCGCTTCCAATTGATGTGATGTGGAGTGTCGTCCTATGCCCTCAGGTTATTCCAGCATGTAGTTCACATTTACTGCAGATCACTACTGAAAAACAGGGAATCAACTAAATACAGTTGTTTTTCCACTGAATGAAAAAACATTGCTCTGATATAAATCTTAGAAATCACAGTTATCACTAGAGATAAAAACATGTTGCAATTATATCTAATTATCTCATTTGCATTCAATTTAGATTCTTATTCAAGAGTCTGCACTTCCAAATTTATCAGCTACCAATCATATTTATTTCATAATTAATCATAATTTTGAATATGTTTGTTACTGCAGTTCAGAATATATTCAGTAAGCAGCAACAGTGTATGTACTCAGACTGAAGCCCAGCTGCTCGTGCATTGTATGTTAACCATGATTGTAGCTGTCTCATTCAAATACAGTTTTATTAGTCACCTGGAGACTAAGGGTGTAACAAATTAGAATGTTCATTTTATTTAGTAGAGCTACGTGTGAGAGTAGTTAATTTTGTTATTGTTTAACATTGAAACACAGAAATAAGTGCAGAATTGAACCTGTTGTAATGCAGTGAAAATCAAATGTAAAGGTAATTATCATATGCCTGTGCCAGCAGAATCCTCCTATTCAGATAACCATGTGGAAAGTAACTGGTATGTTTTTTTTTTGCTTTATGTTTTATTTAACAATGATTTTGCTTAGATTCAGAGTTGAGGTCCATCTCAAAATTACTAGAAGAAATTGTTATTATTGTTCATTTTTTTTATTATTATCATCTGTGTTAGTACTTCTGCTGATGCATGATGCAATTTTGACACAGACCCTAACTTGATCTTATTTTTTAATTTTTTTTAACAATAATAAGGGGGCATTCAGGAGATGCCTTTTCAAACTTAAGCGTACTTCTTTTCATCTGTTTTTGGTATCTATGGAGCATCGTGCATCGATGAACAGTCCTCCGGCCTGTGCAACATACTTGGCAGTTTTAAACTGCGCGTTTAGGTTAAAACCCGTCAACTTTTCCGCTGAGCGCCACAAAAAAGCCCCACACGTTACAGCTAACTGAAAAGCTAGTTTCAAACACCCAGAGCCACACAACATTTGGTACAAAGATTAACACAAACTTTTTCGCAAGTCAGTGTTTTGCGCTTGTTAATCATATGCGTTGACTTGCCCCTTAAGCAGCATGTGCTGCTTCTTTTTAGTGGTCTGAATGCTCCCTAACAGCGCAGCTCAGTAAAAGTTGTTGTAGTATATTTTAGTAAAAAGTGGCCATGGTATACTGTCATCTTTTTATTTGACCGTGAAAATGTAATTAATCTAGTAATAAAGAACAGAACTGCGAATGTCACATGAACTTCACCATCTAATAGCAAGGTGTCTGTAGTTGCTTAGCTTAGCCTGTGGTCTTAGGATGTGCTCAAATGTGCAGTGCACTATATAAACTGCTTTTTGTACAGGCATAATCTCAGCCCACAGCTCCAAACACATTCAACCTGTGCAGCATGAAGTCGCAATTACAGAACAATCACATCTTTGTTAGGTACAGTAAATGTGGTACTGTTGTCACATCACCCAACATGTTTCAAAGTTCAGATGTGTTCTTGTGTTGGAATACTAGTGTCTTCCTATGGTTTGCATTAAATTAAATCAGTCATTCTGTCACTAGAGGCTGTTACTGCAGTAACTTGGTTAACCGTCACTGGGCACAGACGTAATTGCATAGCTGTGCAATTAATTATGGGATTATGTAAATACGTGTAAATAGACTAATAAAATTGCAACAATCACTCCAGATTTCTGAGGAGTAATTGCTTGTTTAATAAAAGTATCAACTTTGAATTGGCTTTTTTAAAAATTCGGTATAGCCTTTTTTGTTTATACTATGTCAGACATGTTCAGTGATTAATAGAGTGATATCTACATGCATTAGCCTTTCTGCTTGGCACTAGATCTTTATTATGAGTATTGTTTGTTTTCTCTTGCTGTGTGTGTGTGTGTGTGTGTATTGGGGCCGGCTGTGTCCATTTTATTGATCTGTGTCCTCATTAGAGCGTTGCTTCCTCATAAACCTTTCACATTCCCCCTGACTGCAGCGTTCCTCTGTGTGCCACTCTGGCTCATATGTCTCCATCTGTGGGATATTACTGCGCTAATGTTCACAGCTTTACTGAGCCAAATCAGCTTACGATCCTGTTTCATGATCAGGGTCGCACACACACACACACACACAAACACACACTTGCATGTTGTGGTCAAGCCATCTACAGCAGTCCTACATTGAGGCTTTTGTGTTAGCCTTGACGTAAGTGGCCATCATGCAATTTGCTTCCCTTTTTCTGTTTTGAAGGCGCACCGCGGACTAATTGCATTGATCTCTTGTACCCTCTTGTCGAATTATGCCAAGGCGGATGTGGCAAATTCATCTGGAGAGCGCTTGTTAAAACTGACCTTTCCGGCAGCATAGGTGAGCAGTGCGGGCGAGAGTGAGGAGAGGGGGAGGAACGAAGCGATAGAAGCGTTTAAATTGGCTGTCTGGAAAACAAGGGAGGCATGGCATGATGTTTTGAAAGGGCTGCTTTAGGCACACTAGACATTTG